TCCCACTTTTTTTTTCTTTTGTTGGTCTGGAAAAATTTACTTTACTAAAACCCAAGTGGAGTCGTTCCGCTCGAATGTTCAATACTAGTCCAGGGATTAGTTCAGGGGTCAACCTCCATTATTGACAAAGAGTTGGGTCTGATAAAATGGGATAGGTTTTAATGGAATCCGATCTGATGCGATTAACGAACCGTCTTAAATGCCCTCCGTCCCGCCGATGGTCAAATGTCACAGCCGGTGAAGGGGGAGTTGATCCACTAGTCCAAATTCAGGCGGGTTGGTTGGGGTCCACAGCCGCACACTATAGATTGTAGCACTCAATAAAAAGTATCACGTGGCAGGCTTATGCGACTGCTTGCGCTTAAGTGCATCCCCCTCGGGCGTATAAAACGGTCCCCAACCCGTCTCCTCCCTCTTATACTCCCGAATATCATACACTTTCGCACAAGCAGTCGCATAAGCCCTCTCAGGCAAACTCCACTTCTTCAGCGAGCTCCCGCTCGTGACATCCCTCAGCAAGTCCTGAATCCCCAACAAACAATGCAAATGCGCACTCATCCGCCTCCTCTCCCTCTCCTCCTCGTCCACCACCTCCCCCAACGACCTCCTCACCGTCTTCGGGCTGATGACAGGAAAAGGTCGCTGAGGGTGCTTCGGAATCCTCTTAAAAATCGTCGACTGGTAAAAAAACCCTTGAAGAACCCCATTCCAATTCTCATCAAACGCCGACCTTGGCGCCTCCTCCAGCACCCGGGCCAGATACTCACAAGTCGCCGATCGATGGTACGTCTCCGCATTCACCAACCTCGACGGACCCTCAAGCCCTTGCTCAAGAAGAGGGATATGACTCAGCAGTCTGGTTATAGTCCGATGAACAAACGGCAGCTCCCGCATAGCCAACTCATTGGTCTTCGTAAAGTCCCCATCATCAGGAATAAGCCACCCCGCAGAAACAACCTGCTCCAGATGAAGCAGATCCCTCACTTCCTGAACGAAATCAATGCCCGTCGCCGAGGCTGGTTTGTCCTATCCCTCATATCAGCAACCATCCCCCTTTTCCCCAACACTAATTCACTTACCAAAATCCTGCAATAAACATCCCTACAAAGCGGGCTATTCCCCTCGACAAAATCCCTAAACCCTTTACAAACCCGTGGCAAGTTCCCCAAGTCCTTCGGGTCAAGAAGGGAGAGTATCCCGTGGAATATCTCGGGCGGGAGGCTCAAAATGCCCACCATCTCGTTGTCGGTTGTTGTCGTGCTAGATGAAGAGTAGGAGGAGGTGGTGGGGCGGCAAGTCGGGAGGTGACTTGCGGTTGAGGATGTTGATGTCATGAACCGACACACACGCACACACACACACACACACACACTCCAACCAAAGTTTGATGATTGGAAAAAAATGGTTGCTTTTGGGGAAAGTTGTTGGGCGATGGATGGGCTGGTGTGTTCAGTGGGTGGTGACGATTATCCGTTTGCCGCCGCCCCGGAGTGGATGTGGTGTAATGTCGGTGATAAGAGCTCCCTAACCACCGGGACCGAGCGAAGGTTACCTAACCCACGGGCATCAGTCAGCAAAGCAAGCGTCTAACGTGATGGAACTCGCTCAACCTGATCAAAACTTACATTTGATGTTGTGTTTTGTACGCAGTTGTCGATTATTGGAATCTGTGTCAGATTCTGCTTTGAATTTGATTACTGCACTGCAAAGCTGTCGAGTTGTTGCGACTTGGAATTTGTTCTCTAGGTTTGCCCCTCAGATGGTGGTGACTTGGACCCAGCTCCTCAAGCAGGGTACAAAAAAAAATGGTTTGTAATCCTCAAGAGCTACGGGCACCTACGCGGGGTTCCTTCTTGCCACTTTTTCCCTCTCGTTCCTTCCCAAAACATAAAAGGGCAGGAGCAAGCTGCCTTGTGACCAGTACCTACCAGCTGTTGGGGCAGGAGCCCGGGGAGGAGCCCCTACCCTGACCTAACTAAAGAAGCAACAGCAACCCCGCACTTTTTTTGGAGGAAGGAGCTTGGGAGCTGCCGTCTGAACTTTGGGGGACATAGGTATGGCGTCAGTTTTGTCGGGTTGGACCTAGCTTCTATACACACGGTGATGGGATATGCGGTTGACTTTTGCATGACAATCCCCCCAGAATATCATGCAAGTCCGAGTAGTGTATAACCCCCACTGCCAAGATCCAAGACATGTCGGTGTCTGTCGGTGACTTTGTCGAGTATAGGACGTGGGGGTTGAAGGTGGTGTATGTAGGTGCTGGTCCTATTTGGATCGGTACCAGGGGTTTTAGCAACGAAGGGACAGCAAGGGGGAGGGAGTGTGCATCTAATACCTTACCTATACCTCTTCATCGCCCTTGACCACAATAAGAAGCAGCAGCATGGCAAAAATGTATCATCGATTTGTTTTTCTTCTTCTTCCTCTCATGTCCAATGCTATGTGTAATCGCCCAATAAAACAGGTCATGAGCAAAAAAGAAAACAAAAAAAACCAAAAAAAAATCAACATAAAAAATAAGGGGTATAGTGTTTTAAAAAAGGAGCTCAACAAGAAGAAAAAACTCGATGTGCGTGTGAATGTTGTTTGAAGTAGTAATATGCCCCCCCCCTTCCCTCCATGTTCTCGCTTGACCTGACCACCTATGTATATGCTTTCCTCCCCGTATGCCTCCCTCCTCACCACCCTCATCAAGCCCTTTCCGTTGGGACTTTCCGTTTTAGTATGCCATGCCTCATTTTCATAATAATAGGCCCCACTCATTCCCTTCCAAGTGTCCCTCCATGTGTTTTCGCAATAACAGTATAAACCCGTCTCAAAGATCATAAACAGCCACCCCACACTCCCTCCGTCTCTGGCAAACACCTAGCAAGAAAGATGATAGGCCTCTGCGAGAAACCCCTATACAACCCCAACAAAAGCAGTTAACCTTCCCGTATGTGTGTAAATTACCACACCAGCTAATGCATCTGCCCCATGTTCAGATTAATACAATTGCTCAGCAGAGTAGCACCCTCGTGGAGCAGCTGCCACCTCGTCACCTCAAAGGTGTCCTTCAAAATCATCAGCATAGGCGTGTTGTGGCTGATCCCCTTCATAGTCTTGAGCTCCTCTGGCGACGCCGGGTTGCCATACTTGGCCAGGTACTCCCGCATCTGACGGACCTTGTCCTGCTGAGTGGTCGGCACAGGCATTTCCGGGCTGGGTCCCTCGAGAGCAAACCCATAGCACCACACCACCAGAGCGGCAAAGTAGAGAACCCAGGGCCTGTTGAGCAGGACGTCGTCGCGGGCCGAGTAAATCTCGTCGTACCGGCCGTATCCGTTGGAGCTGGGAGTCGCCACTCGATCAGGCTGGAGCACCGAGTTCAGGAACTTGAGGGCGTAGTACGTCGCGTCGCGCGCCTTTGCCGTCGGGGCCCACTCTCTCATCCGCTTCGAAGCGCTGGAAACATCCTGCTGCCCAATCGCTCGACCGAGCAATCTCTTTGCTCGCGCGTGCATCTGGCAGTCGACGATGTCCACGTGCATGGCCATGTGGGCCAGGTGGTGGAGGACGATCCGGCTCTCAAACACGACATTGGCTTCGCTGTGGTCGGGTGTGTGGAAATAGGGGTCGGCCGACGCCTCGCCGCGCTTGAACAACGTCTTGTCAAAGTCGCCCTTCCACGAGTCGAAAGCCCTCGTCAAGGTAGCCCGCCACTTGTCCCGCCCGCCGAGAGCTTGTCCGACCGGGCCGCCGAGAGAGTTGACTTGAAGATCTCTCTGGTTCATGTGCCAACTGACGCTGAGCAAGCCGGCCATCAGAATGGTGCGGCCAAACGAGTTCGTCTGCACCTCGTGGCCGCTCAGTGTCCGCTTGAGACCTTCCAAGAAGGCGACCGGTTTGTTGCCCACAGCCAAGAGCTGTGACTCGATCCTGCCCACCTCGGCACCGCTTGTGGCCTTCCACAACTTATCGTCACAAGGCAACGGCAGGCGCATCTCGTGGGCCACCATGACGGTGGAATGTCCAAACATGGTGGCGTGAATAGAGTCGATAACAAAGGCGGCAAAGGCTGCGCGCCGCGTCGACTCGCCAGCGATCCAGTGGTTCCACCACTCGCTCGGAGTGTGCGCCATACCCGATGTCGAGGAGTGTCTGGAGCCGTTGGTCTTGTCATCTCTGGGATTCGGTGGCGAATCCAAAGCGGACTTGCCGATGAGGGCTCGCCCGCGACGCATGAGAGTGATGGTGGTGGCATGGTGAATATGTGCCCTCTCGTGAAGCTCGCGGGTAGAGTACATCTTTTCGTATAGTTCGAGCAGGAGGAGCGTCTGGAAAACCCACAGCTTCGCCGGCGGCCGGCAGTTGGGATCCTGGAACATTTCCCACCTGAGATGCCACGCCAAAAAGTTGGAGAGCTGGGCACCAGCCTTGGTCACCTTCTGACCGTGAGTCTTGTCAAGACAGGCGGCACCAATCGTCATCATGGCAATCAACAGCAGATTTGGCGTCTTTTCTGGGGAGAAGGTCGGCTTATGCAAGATGGGAACCTGATCGCTAAAGTGAACCCAGTACGAGCCGATGTACGCCTGCATCATCTTGCGGCTGAGCATGTGTGAGTCGTCGTTGCGATCGCCTTCGAGGATGCCTTCGCGTTGCCGCTCGACTGGCGCCTGACCATTTTCGTGGAATCTTTCCTTGATAAACTCGAAGATCTCGGCGCTCTTCTCGTCTGAAATGACCGACTCTGGGAGGTTTTGATCCAAAAGGTTAGTGACGGACATGATCTGCTGTGGTGCTGTTGAAGGTGGGAAGTAGCCCATCTGGCTTGGATCGTTGCCGTAGTAAGGCACACTAAACTGGCTGGAGAACTCCCCATAGCTGTGAAGACAAGTCAGCACAAAATGGACCTTGAAGGCGAGTGATAAAACTTACTTGTACCCTCCCCCTTGAATCGGCACAGCCATTGGAGAACCATCCGTGTGTGCGGTGTTGAACAGGTATGCCATGAAATCCTCCGGCATGCCGACATAAGGCGACTTGTTCAACATGCTGTCGCTGCCAAACACGGGCATGGTTTGAGGCATGGCCATTTGATCGAGCAACATCATTTCACCTCCTTGTTGCTGATGCTGATCATTGTATTCGGTCGAGGTCGGTGGCGCATACGCCTGCTGCTGTTCTTCACGATCAACACCCCCGGCTGACGAAGTAGGAAACTCGGATGGCGGCAGACTGAATGGAGGGAAGTTTTGTGGTGGAACATAGGACATCCCGCCCGCTGACTGGGGAGTTCCCGATGGCTGGCTGTGGTATCCTGGCTGGTTCGAAACAGGTGATAAAACGCCGTAAGGACCAACGCTGGTCTGAATGGAAGGCCGTTGAGGACCGCCTGGAGAATGAAGTGGCTGTCGTTGAGACATGTGCCCGTAGTTGTTATGGTCGTGGTGCATGTAGTCGACGGGACCGTTGGACCCTCCGTTTGGATAGCCAGCCGGTGGCGTGTTGGCCATTGGACTGTACGGCATGCCGTCCTTTGGAGACTGAAATTGCATGGTCAAAGCCCGGCCCTTGTTGTATGCCGTGCCTGGCCTGTTGACTTCAGGAGAGGCAGAGCCCGCCGTCATAAATGGAGATCGGTTGTCTGTGATGGGTGAGGCTTGACTCATCAGCGAGTCTTTCCGGTTGAGAGCAGACCCCTTTGCCGTGTGTCGGTCCTTGTGACGATTGCAAAGATCGAGCCGGACGAAAGTCCTCTGGCAGTCACCGATGCCGCACTTGTACACTTGCTTCGGGTTATGGTTGAGCTGATGGCGGTAGCTTTTTAACAGACAAGGAGGTTAGTACAGAGACAAACTCATATTGACACTCAAGATTTAAAATCACATACAGATGCTCTGCCCTCGAGTAGCTCTTCCCGCAACCCTTCTCAGGACACTCAAACTTCTTCTCCTGGCCCTTCCGGCTTCGCCTACGTTTCCGCGCGGGGCCTTCCGAGTTGGACGAGTGAGCACCATCCCCGCCATCCTCGGCATCATCTAGATCGAGACCATCCACATCTTTGTCGTCAGATCGGCTACGTGTGCGGCCTCTCTCATGGTCTTCGTGCTCCTGTTTTATGTTTTCAGGAGGGGTGGGCTCCTGCTGAGGGGGCATGGACTGCATAGTTCGCGCCGGTGGTGCTGGAGGTTTGATTTCACTTGGCTGGGATGCGAGAACAGAAGCCATGTTCTCTCGCAGAGGTGATTTTCCAATCGGAAGACACCGGCACTGATTAGGCTGCACGGTTGAATGAGTAACTCTTGTTCAGTCACACAGATCCGGGGTAGGAATACTGGGGAAGGTC